CCGGCATGCGGACGCAAAGCCCCCGCTGCAGTGCGCCGGTCACATGTCATTGCACTCAGGGTGAACATGACAGAACATGATCAGCATAAAGTTAACAGAAGCGGTGGATGCAGCCACTCAGCGGCCAAACATCCAGCAGATGAACGCGCCCTCATGAGATTGCCATCTGTGACGATCTTGTGCCAACTCCGCGAGGTTCAGCTGATGTGCACGGCAGTACGCATATACGGTCATATACGTCTTGTTCATGCCTACGAACGTACCACCTCCTGGGGTGCACCACCACTCCCCGGCTTTGCCTCCACCATTCCATGTTTTTGTGGGACAACAAAAATTGCATCATGGGCAACATCTTCGGCACGTCTTTCCCTTGCATGATTTTCTGATAGGCTCATTGTTTGAGACGTGGGCCGAGCCGACAATGGCTGGACAAAAACGACCGGCTGTACCAAAGTGAGAAAGGCAGCTCTCATCTTGGATCCCGGGCTTCTGCCCATTCCGCCATGGCGGAGGCCATCGAAGCATCCAAGCCTTCATGAGGCACAGCAATGTTCATACGAGCGAGTCTCTCAATGTCTCTCAAGAGCTGAATGCTGTAGCAAGAACTGCAGGCCAAGCATGCGACTGTCTGCATCCAAAATTTTGCAAGGGTTTCCACACCGAAGACCCCAAAGAAATTTGCAAAAACTAGCTTTCCGCAATCCAGCGTCCTCGCCTGAAGCCAGCTGTTTAGCCTGCAGGTGACATCAGAGAGGTCAACGGCTGCGTTTCGACAAGTAAACACAAGCGTACGATTCCATGAGCTATTCTATGTGCTTGAAGCTGGCGCCCTGTCGATGGGTCTGCATTACAGCTCTTAGAAGCTCTTTCACAAATCCCGGCACTCCTGCTTGTAGGTAGTCGCGCGCTCCACCTCTTATAGAGCGCCAGGCTACGCGTCCTTGCATCCAGAATCGGCACGCCAAGGGGATTCAGGTGAGGCCACTTGGCCAGGCACATAAGCATCGGCAGGTTCAGGTTGTACTTGGCCGAGAGGAACACCACCGGAACCCCTCTTATGGAGGCGAAGGACTCTGCAATCCTGTCACATGGCGGGGTGCTCTCTTGTCGCTTGAATTTTGCTTAAGTGGTCTCAATTTTTTGGCAAAGTCCGGCCTCTTGAGGATCTCCTCTCTATATTTGGGCTGATCGTTCTCGTGTATCAGATCCCACTTGTTGATGGCCTGAGGGCTCATGACTGTGCAAAAACAGTAAAAGACAAAAGCCGGCTGCATGTTCTATATCTGTTGTTGTTTTTTTTCGGCTGCCCTTGACGAAGAAACCGTAGCCTGTGAATTGCTCCAGGAGATAGGTGCAATGCTTCTACCATGCTTCCGAATGCTCTTGCCGCTCAAATGTGTCATCATGTTTCAGAGAGAGGGATCGGGCAACGCTTTTCACCGCACTTCTTTTTGCACGGCGGCAGCATGCTTTTCATCTCCCGAGCTTCTTTGCCGGCTGTTGGCAGAATGCAAGCAGTGCGTCTGGGGAACAGGAACCGAGTACGCATCCCACACTACAAGGTTGTACTACAAGATTGAAGTCGGGGAGTCTTTACCTGCTTCGCGCCAGGATTCCTTCCGGCACATTTCTGCACCCGTCAAATTTCAAAGGTTATAGGATTGCTGAAAAAACGATGTCTTGTAGATAAAGCTCAACTAAACTATGTATCAATGTGCAATCTTCTTTGCTCAATCGGCGCCCGAGCCACGCAGTGGCAAGTGACGAGTTCATCATCATGCCAGCCGTCAAGTTACAGGAAGGAATTCACATGTGCCGTTACCACCGGACTCTCACCTGCGCTCAGGCTGCCCTGGAAGAGCTGCACTGTGTCTCTTCGATTCCTTTCAGGGAGGAACTCAGGGATGGGCAGAAGCTAATCCACTTCCAAAGCCATGTCCAATGCGGATCTAGGGGTCTTGCCCGCCACAGTGTTTGAGTAAATGCTCAATGCAGTCCGACACTTGCCGGAGGAATCTCGAATTGAAGTGAGGTCACAAGCACATGCATTTGTTAGCTTGGCCTGGAAGCACTTCGCCGAGGGCGCGTCCTTGGAGCCTTTGCAGACCCCTGCAGCCAGGTAGGCCAAACAACTGCTTGCTTACGGACACATGAGCAGTCTGTGATAGGGATCACGGCTTCGTATCTTGAAGCACTGACACACATGACTTCGAGATGAAACTGGCAAGTTCATATGAGACCCAAACATGCAGCTGCGTCCCCTAAACATAGCTTACGCTGATGTGCAAGAACTGCGCAGCAGAACCTCAAAAAACATTGCACTGGCAATTCTTGCTTTTCAGAAACATGGGCAAAAAGTGGAGCATGCCGTGCAACGTGCCTCTTTCGCCTTTGCAAGCTCACTCACCTGCAAGAACATGCTCTAGATGTGCGGCAACTTTAAAAACAGCTCTGGCAGCCGCTCACTTTGAACAGATGCAGTGTGGATGGCTTTCTATCCTTGGCTGTGGCCTTCTGCCGCGTTTGCAGAATTTGCCGCTGCCAAATCCAAGATACCTGAGCATTGAGTTGGAGAAATTGCATTAGCCCAATCCTGACGTAGCAGCGGAAGCAGAAGCAAGGAGCACTTGTCTACTTTGACCCAAAGGATGGATATGTCTAGGCCACTTAGAGGTTGGAAAACTGGGAGAGGCGAGAACTGAAGAGCCCTGCCTGTTCGGCCGTCAGCTGCAGCTCACCCGGCACTTGCCTGCGTGAGCTGCACTCAGCCCGGATTTCGCTTGCCACCTGGAGTCAGTCGGACTTCAAAGAACCTTGGAGATGAACCTCTCTCCCCACAATCCCACTACTGTTCTGTTTTGATATGGTCATAAGAAAATCTCAGCCCAAGCCTTTTTTGTTGGGGGGAGTGGGCGTGTCACACCAGCTCCAACCTGGTGCGGTCGATTTTGCAATCCGCCGTCAGACACATAAGTCGTTCAGGGACGGTTATCCCTGTAGCTACTGCTGTACATCAAGTCACGACCTGTGTCTATGTCATGTAAAGTTGTCGCAGAATCCTCCAAGCCGCCTTGGGAGGAAAGGGCGCAGCGCCAGGATGTCTAAATCACCGATGGGTATGGGATAGCCCCGCTCATGGATTTTCTTGTAAAGAGGATGCTTGTGAAGGTACTCAGCTTGGTCTTCAGAGATGTCCCCCTTCTCGTAGGTTGGCGGGGCTCGTGCATGCACAGGTGCTGGTGGAGGTTTCAGCGGAGGTTCTGGCAAAGGGGCCGGCTCTGGCCCCGCCACCTTGGTTGGATCTTGCCATCCCGATTGCACGTGTCTGCCCTGCACCCAAGGAACCTCAACCTCCTCGAGCTTTACTGTCGGCTCTGGGCGGTCGCACACCTTTGCAGGGACATCGACATCGACACAACTATCATGCAACCTGAGATATTTGGGCAAACGTTAAAATTACCGGTTAGCAACACGTCTTTTGCCCAACCCCTTGCTCTCCGTAGCCGCTTGAATTGGCGAGGCGGTGGCGCTAGAGGCACCGGGTCCTACAACAGCGGGAGTCGAAAGGAATACATGACATGTTGTAAAAGCTTGTAAGCAAATCAGAACAAAGCCAAATGCCGGTGCTGTCCGGAATGGCCGCAATTTTCTCTGGAGCCAGCTTGCGTAGTCGCTTCCATACCTTCTTTGGCTCTGGCTTGACTTTCCGGCGTCGAGCCTTTCCTGTCTGGAGCGGGCCTTTCGGCCGGATAGGGATGGCAGCAACTTCGGCTGGGGCTACCTTGGCCTTCGCAAAGATGTCAAGGTCTCTGAGGTGCCGCTTTGCCTCCTCTTCACAACTGAAGACATCGCCCATGGCGTTGCGAAAGCACCTTTCGGACTCTTGGCTCGCAAATCCAACCTGCCAGTCGTGTGGCAACCAATTTGGCCAGTGATCAGGGAAGTGCTGCGGCAACGGATCACCATTCTGGTCCACCGGCACGAGAGCCGACCCGGTCATTTCCTGGACCTGCGACTTGTTGTAAACTGCTTTGCGTCCAAAAGCCTCTGGTGCAACGAACAGTTTTCGCCGGAAGCCTTTAGCATCCTGCTTCCAGGCTTGTGCCCAGCCAGGGGGCAGCCAAAGCATACGCCGCAGGGCACAAACCTCTAATCCCGCTGGCCAGTCGTTTGGTGGCTCGACCTCCCAGGGTGCTGGGGGAGGTTTTCCAACTTTCACATCCCAGCAGTTTTTCCTCTCAAAAAATCATCTGCTGCGATCTCTACTTAAGGCATCACTTACCATCCCTGTGTGCTTGCCGCTCCTGACTGCCCAATGGCGGCGCGAGAATCTGCTTGACTTCATCATGGTTGTAGAAAATGATGGTTCCGGTCTCTGCTTCCGGCAGGTCTTCCAGTGCCATTGCTGGAGGTCACAGAGAAGATGTCTCAGTCTATTCCAGTGATTGCTGTGCTGCCTGTCCATACCACGAACAATTGACATGCCATTTACTAGCAGGGCCTGTACTCGGGGCAGCCGATGTGTAGAAGAGCACTTCTGATGTTTAACTGAGCTGGAAGGTTTTGCCTGATTTGCTTCGCAATTGTCCTCATGCTTACGCCAGCACTTTTCATTGAACGCCCGGCAGAAGAAGCAAAACTCTTGTTCAGCAGCCTGAGCAAGCCTTACTGCAGCTAAGGAGCAATTGCAAACTGGCTTCTTTGTACCAGCAGGCGCGAGTAGACAGTAGAGAGCTTCTCAACATATTCCTTAGTCAGGAGTCGCAAGGCTTTCTTCATGCTCCATGTCAGTTTGCATTTAGAGTGTCCTCGGCGCTGCGAGGCTTTGCGAGGGCAGCCCTGTCCAGGTCACGCAGCGCGGAAGCATACTCCAAGCAGCAGGATTCCTGAGCGCAGCTAGGGATAGGTGCTCCACCACGCCCATTGACCTACGCGCCTGCTGCGAAAAAATTGCAGAAGCCAGTGTGGGGTGTACCGCGTGATTAAAAGAGATTTGGGATCGAGGCACTTGATATTGCATGCCTTGTCAACGAGTCCTGCTACAAAACAGGCAGATCAAACGATCAGCCAAGCGATGTGAGCCGAGGCCGCAATACTATGTCCCAGACGGGCAAGACTCAGTTATCACATCAATGAATGCAAGCCCGAATGCCCAGCTCAGGTTGCCAAGCATCCAGCGACTGAAGCACTCGGGGCACAGGAACCTCAGCTACAGGTATAGACAACCTCAGCCAATTCCTTCGATGTTGCTTTTTGTCCTGCTGTTCCTGCTTTATGGGCAAAATGTGCAATCTGAAGTCAATTCCCTATGGCCACACTGCAGGGGATACTAAGGCACTGCATGCCACACCATGGCCTGTTCCAAACTACATTCTTCTGCATGCTGAACTACCGGCAACATGCTCTCATGTTGACTACAGATATGCCTCTTCCTTGAGAACGGTGATTAGTCACCGATTTGCCGCAATCGGCTCTTCTGCTACTCTAAAGCAACGCAACCGTTTCTGGTCGAGGCTGGTGGCATGCCGCTAAGAGCGTGCTAGCTGCGTGATGAATTACACGGCGTTATGCACTTTGTTGGCATATGACCCATCGCCACCCCCGCCTGCGCCTGGACGAAATTTGTCCGGATGATCTGATTGATGAGCTCCTGCTGCTTTGAGTGCACTTTTTTTTTTTCGGAGCGTAGCAACGTTACAACAAGCTAGTCTCTGCAGTGCAGCAGGGCCTGCGTGGGGAAGTCCATCGCTACCTCGGGCAGCGAATATGTCGAAGGATTTCAACCCGCCAAAATTCGCTCTTGCAGACTTGGGCCTGCTGAGCTCTGTTCAAGTCAAAGCTTGCCAATCCTTTCTGGAGGTTTGTGGCTTGCCTGTACAGATTTGGGAGAATGAGTTCACCGCATCTAGCTCTCTTCAACTCGACGCTTATCAGTCGCCATGACCAGCGCTCCTCCAACAGCTACGTCAGCTCCACTTGTTTGCTAACTGCAGTAATTACCAAACAGCCGTCAGCACCTGCTGTCTCAGGCCACCGCGATGCCTAGAGCGCTGTGTCGTCCTGGCACAAACCCTATGGACTATGGCACTATGATAGCTCGTGTGAGCTGTCATGCTTGCACCCGGTGAATTTCAGCCAAGAGGCTTCGTGAGACGCTTGCACAAAAGCGAGTGTTGAGAATGCCGGCGAAGTACCGGGGCGTCCGTCTTGGAAATGACCTGGG